TAACAGAACTCAAAAAGTCGTAATCAATGGTAAAGGTTCCTCCGGATCGGTAGTATCAATGGGCGTTCCTCAGGCATCGATTCTTGACCCATTCCTGTTCTTAATCTATATTAATATACCTTATCTTAGACTAGACTTACCTTATCTTGTAGGGGACAATCACGATAAATATATCGATCGTTGTAAAATACAAATAATTCCAAAAACCAAATTTAATACATACGTGACCAAGCTTACTATTTTTAAAATCACTCCTAAAAAGAACTCCTTAAAGAGTAGAACTAGGTGAGCCGAGTTTGGCCTCGTTTTGTTAGTTGTGATGAGCCCTTACCCCCAAAATCGATAGAGTGACCTGAAGGTGTACTTCGGTGAATGCTACTGGAACTCCTCAAAGAGTATTATTTGCTGACGATACCTCTTTAATTTTCAAACTCAAACGGCAGTCAATTAATTATGACGATGTAAATAATGCTCTATCGAAATTAGTACATTGGTTTAACGCCAACAATTAGCTCTTAAACTGCAATAAGACAAAATGTATTAAATTTACTATACCTAATGTATATCATTCGAAAACCATTGTGCTCTTAAATGGGGAGGAGTTGAGTCTTGTGGATACCACTGTTTTTCTTGGTATTACTATTGACGCGATACTTCAATGGGGCCCCTATATATCTAAATTAGCAAGCAGACTTAGTTTTGCAGCATATGGTGTAAGAAAGATTAGAAGTCTCACAGATGTTGAGGCAGCTACGTTAGTGTATTTTAGTTACTTACTACGTAATGTGTTATGGAATTTTGCTATGGGATAATGCGACTGATATTTAAGCTATAGTTGTTTTGCAAAAGAGGGCCGTACGGGCGATTTATAACCTAAATTGTAAAGAGCCACTCAGAGAAAAATTTAAAGAAATAATCATATTAACTTTGGCATCGCAATATATTTATGAAAATGTAATGTATGTACATAAAAACATAAATAGCTTTAATAAGAATATAACGCCCACCATGCCGAATGGCTCGGTTCACGTTTAACCGATCATGCGGGGAGATCTGTTTATGACTTTGCCTTGGCATATGGTCTGACACAACTGGTTACTTCGCCTACGCGGATTCCAGCTGTGGAGGATCATACACCTTCCCTGTTGGACATTCTGCTGACCTCTTATCCGGACGGATATCAGGTTTCCGTCGATGCCCCTCTCGGCTCTTCGGACCATTGTCTGATCCGAAGTGTGGTGCCACTCACGCTCCCTTCGCGGTTGCGTTCTGCAGGTTGCCGCTGTGTTTGGCATTACAGGTCAGCGGCTTTAATAGCTTTAATAAGAATAAGCATATTCATACTTTAAACACTAGGAACAAACATAAGCTTGTACTGCCAGTCACTAGACTCCACAGAATTACTAATTCATTTATGGAGCAATGTATACGCTTTTACATCAAAATCCCAGAACATGTTCAAAGTTTGTCAATAAACAAGTTTAAAAGTTTTATTAAAGAAAAACTGTACAAAAAGGGTTATTATAATATCAAGGAATACATGAATGAAAATAACCCCTGGGAATAAGCTGATCGCCACCATGCAGGTTCTATGAAAATTCATTTAAAATTGTATAAACAAAATTACTGTTAAGTGAAATTATGTTAAAAAAGTCCCGCTGGGTTTCTTGCTGGTTCTTCCCAGGACAGAGGTTTTTTACGAACCAGTGGTAAAAAAAAATACGACTTTCAATAACTATTATGTAATAATCAATATTGAATAAAAAAAAAACGGAACGTATTAAAGAGTGTTTCTATGCAGTCTGTGGTATTATAACACGAGAGCTGCAAAGCGTGAGCAAAAGTTACAGAGGGCAAAAGTAAAATCACCTGTCTTAGATACTTAGCAGTGAATAAATTATAAAGGTTATTAATTAATTTTTGTGCTTTTAGCCATTGACTTGACTTATTTAGTTAAGTATATATTACTGCATAATTTTCATATCAATTGTTTAAGCTGAGGTTGTAGTCATAGCTGCAATAATTGCTACATCATAAACTCAAAAGTGACGACATACATAAGTGTAACGTTCTATGATCCTCGACTTTTAAATAATATTTTTCAATTTAGGATTTAGATTGTGCCCAGGCGGAACGGATTAATCCATATACTAGTCATGTTCGCGAAACTTTATAGCCAGGTCACAGCATGTATCGGCCGTTACCGATGTTCTTTTCACCTAATAATAACGTTTTTTTTTTTGGATTTGGAAAAAATAAGGTTTATGTTTCATTGATATTTACAAATGTTATATATTATTGAATGTAAAACAAATGTAAAAGTAAAGTCGATCTGAAAACATCTAATTAGTAAGAATAGCAAAACAAGTGTTTTCAAAAGGAAAAAAACAATAACCAGATGCGCCGGCGCTGTAGGGCGGCGGATGATCAAAATATTATTTATTAGCGAACTCTTTTTATGCATGAACGCGTTCGAAGTTTCAAGCAAAAATAAACCTTATACCATATCACAAGAGCACATGGTACTTCGTAGGTCCGTTCGGTCATATGACAGTAATAAGACGGCAGTTCCATCATTTTGCTTAAAATGAAACAATAAGACAAACGCATTGTTTTTTTTTAACAGGAGACTTGTTTTCCAGAAACTTGTTTACAACTTGAGTTAGCAGTCGATCGCGTGTCACACGCCACACAGGAATATAATCGATGGCACTCCAGGCGTGCCATCTGTACTGAATCGCTTGATGACAACATCAAGCGATTCAGTACAGATAATACAAATCGATTAATACAACATTTTAAAATATATCAAAATTGATACGAATGCGATACTCTAAATAAATATCGATGATCGATATATAGCGATTCAAAATATCGATATTTTTATGACAAATTATCGATAGTTTTTATCCAAGCCTACCGATGGGCAAATAAAAGGTTCTCGTGTTGTACAGGTAAACTAAGTGTAGCCCCCGCCCCCCCACTAGATGGAGTAACGACTTAGTAGGCAAACAGGAAGTCGTTGGAGCACGTGGCTTAGGACCGTGCTTCTTGGCAAACTGTGGGGATAGCCTATATTCCACAATTGATTTGCGATGGGCTGTAAAGAAATATTGAATATAGTGAAATAAAACACTATTGGGTATACTTAAACATTTTATTGGAAAAAAATTCGTCCTAAATTGAAAGGCAACGTGGTATTGTGTAAATTTTAGAAATTACACCGAAAACAGTTCGATACTGGTGCGTGATCGGTGTCACCCGGCGTACGGATATGGATAACTGTCTTGACAATATCAACCTTATGTCTATTGACCGAAAAGCCAATTTAATGCATCGTGTACGCCTGGGTGACGTCGACTACGACCAGCGACATGCGACGGATGGCACTTATGATTACAAAAACACGTACAAATTATTGCAACTATTTTTTCTTTCAATTTAATTAAAAACGCCACCGCATTGTAACATATGGAATGCCTTTAAAATTCACTTACAATATAACATTATACACATCCTATAAAGCATACAGTTAAATATTTCAGCGGTTATTTATAATTTTGTTCTGGAATTAAGTAGGAGTGACTTTTGTAGGCCGATATGTAGTGAAATGAACGCACCTAGTACAATACATACAACATAATATCAGGACAGACGGACAAACAAAGTAGTGAAACAACAAAGAAACTATAGAAACGATAATTACACTTGAAGCTCTATTTTAACTCCTATATAACTAGAATATAAATGATTATAAAAATAAATAAGGGGGACAGTCCCCCTCTCCCTTTCACCCCCCACGCTCAACACCTCGGACATGTCCTTTGAGCAAGACTCAATAAATTTAAGTATCCTCAAATATATTGGTGTTAGATACAAGATATATTGTACGACCGGACAGTTTGACCGTTCCGTACGTCGATATGGGTCCCACACACTTGAACACTATCGGGTCAACGAGGACCAAGCAAGACTACCAATCATTATATATATAACTCGAAGCACACAGCACTATTTGACTCACAAGTTGACCACCCGACACGAATATAACGTAGTTATTGAATAAAATCCAAAATACTTATAAATAATAATAATAATAAAAACAAAACTGTGTGCTTTCGCGACTCGTTATAATCTACTCTTGTATACATGTATACAGTACACGCTCCCTCGAGTTTGGTGTATACATACACATTCGGTTATAGCACATTATCTTCTAAAATAAAATTACTAATAAGTAATAAGCAATATTTACACTCAAGTCCCGACTACGACTGCCGACGGCTCCGATTGTTCGTGATACACACGCGAGCACCGTTCTAATTTGAGCTTTCCCACTACGTATTAAGATCGATAATCTCTCTCGCTAATAAGTTACCTGGACGGTGTTGCAAAATTATCTGATACATCTATGGAATATGTTGGCGATAACTTTAACATTCTATAATACTTTCAGGTTAATAAACTTTTGCATAAACCACGTTTCACTATACAAATTAAGACTTATGTATTTATTTATAACGATATTGTATAATACGGCAAAACTGAAATGTGGTGGGAAATAAAATTAATTAAGTAAAATGAATATTTCTCTCTATTATACCTATGTTTTTAAATATCTTTTCTTTCTTCTGCGTAAGCTGTTGCTTCACATTGCTTTTCGCCAGCGAAGCATGCTTCCCGAAGTTGTGTTTTGTGTACGAACCAACTACAATAAAAACTATTTCGACGGAATTATAAATTTCAATAGTGACGTTAATATCTTACAAAATAATACATGTCCGGACGTAAGCACTATTTGATATGTGACACACATGCGTGGAAATTATAAAACAATGTGGTTCCGACAAACATATTAGCGGTGTCCCTTACTTTTGAAATTGTATTCGTGTATCTTGATAATCACAAGTTGCGTTCGTGTACTCCGGACTATGCACGGTGATGTATACCGGAGTATCCGCGAGTGGATCCGTGGAGCCATGTTGTATCGGGCGCGACGTCTACATGTTCTCGAACTGATCGACGCGGCGCTTGGTGTTGCCCTTGCGGATCTCGCGCAGCGTCTTGTACTTGTCGCGGCCCTGGCGGACGTTCTCGCGATGTATTTTGTCCATCGCCGTCTCTTTTGTCTCGTCGCGCGACTGCGCCAGGTCTTGTTTCAACGCCTATGGAAGAGAGGTATTCTTTTAATTAATGTTTGTTCACATGATATGCTAATGCAATAGCTTTCATTTGTGTTCAGTGTTATTGATAGAATCTTTTTCGATACAATGGGATGATGAGAATGGTACAGATTCTTAAAGTTAATCCGTTCGCTGCTTTGACAAGTAATTTTCGGTGACAAGTTAGGATAAGCTTCATTTAAAGTCCATATATGGCTGCATATGTATAACCTGTATAATACTTGTTTGACTACTTCATTGGTTCAGGGATCGTAAACGTGATTGCCGATTATCAAGTTCAAATCTCAGGTCAATCAAAATCAGTTATTGTTTTTTTTTTCCAAGAAATGCTTAGTAGTAGCCTGGAATCAGGATGTTTGCAGTTTCTCACTTCTGTGCCTCGGAGAGAGCATGCAAAGTTATTAGTTCTGCGTTTGATCTTATGTCGATTTTGTCGGTGTCAGATAACCGTTCCATGGAACTAAGATGTTGAGAATGAAGGAATAGAGTGCATTTGTGTTTGTGCATACTTGGGCAATATAATCCTGTTCTGCGCAGATGACTAGTCCACGTTACGATTGGCCGCCGTGACTGAAATTCGGTTGGGAATGCAGCAGCTGGAGCCACGTACCTTGAGCTGGTTGTGCAGGCGCTCGGAGCGCTCGGCCAGCGTGCGGCGCTCGTGCAGCGGGTCCACCAGGTCGTCGGGCGCGCCGGCCAGCTCGCCGCCGCCGGACTCGGAGCCGCCGTCGGAGCGCTCGCTGCGGGTCCAGCAGCTGGAGCCACGTACCTTGAGCTGGTTGTGCAGGCGCTCGGAGCGCTCGGCCAGCGTGCGGCGCTCGTGCAGCGGGTCCACCAGGTCGTCGGGCGCGCCGGCCAGCTCGCCGCCGCCGGACTCGGAGCCGCCGTCGGAGCGCTCGCTGCGGGTCCAGCAGCTGGAGCCACGTACCTTGAGCTGGTTGTGCAGGCGCTCGGAGCGCTCGGCCAGCGTGCGGCGCTCGTGCAGCGGGTCCACCAGGTCGTCGGGCGCGCCGGCCAGCTCGCCGCCGCCGGACTCGGAGCCGCCGTCGGAGCGCTCGCTGCGGGTCCAGCAGCTGGAGCCACGTACCTTGAGCTGGTTGTGCAGGCGCTCGGAGCGCTCGGCCAGCGTGCGGCGCTCGTGCAGCGGGTCCACCAGGTCGTCGGGCGCGCCGGCCAGCTCGCCGCCGCCGGACTCGGAGCCGCCGTCGGAGCGCTCGCTGCGGGTCCAGCAGCTGGAGCCACGTACCTTGAGCTGGTTGTGCAGGCGCTCGGAGCGCTCGGCCAGCGTGCGGCGCTCGTGCAGCGGGTCCACCAGGTCGTCGGGCGCGCCGGCCAGCTCGCCGCCGCCGGACTCGGAGCCGCCGTCGGAGCGCTCGCTGCGGGTCCAGCAGCTGGAGCCACGTACCTTGAGCTGGTTGTGCAGGCGCTCGGAGCGCTCGGCCAGCGTGCGGCGCTCGTGCAGCGGGTCCACCAGGTCGTCGGGCGCGCCGGCCAGCTCGCCGCCGCCGGACTCGGAGCCGCCGTCGGAGCGCTCGCTGCGGGTCCAGCAGCTGGAGCCACGTACCTTGAGCTGGTTGTGCAGGCGCTCGGAGCGCTCGGCCAGCGTGCGGCGCTCGTGCAGCGGGTCCACCAGGTCGTCGGGCGCGCCGGCCAGCTCGCCGCCGCCGGACTCGGAGCCGCCGTCGGAGCGCTCGCTGCGGGTCCAGCAGCTGGAGCCACGTACCTTGAGCTGGTTGTGCAGGCGCTCGGAGCGCTCGGCCAGCGTGCGGCGCTCGTGCAGCGGGTCCACCAGGTCGTCGGGCGCGCCGGCCAGCTCGCCGCCGCCGGACTCGGAGCCGCCGTCGGAGCCCTCGCCGGCCGAGCCCTCGTCGCCCGCCGCGCCGGCGCCCTGCTCGCTCACGTGGTGGTGCTGCGGCGTCGTGGCCGCCGCCAGCATGGCCGCCGCCTCGTCCTGCACCACACACACACACCATTACCACTGCTGCTCCTGTCTTATCTAGGCAAACTCAACGCAACTTTACAATTGCTCAAACTTTAACTTAAAAAAGTTATTTTATCCACTCAATAGCATTAATAAAACTTCGCAATCCACTGTCTGTGACTTAAATTATCGATTCCTATCCGGCTCGAAGGATCAGAAAATGTAGCGTTTCCCAAAAATTATATAAAAATTAATACTAATTGAAATCGAGTAATTAAATACTATGATATTAAATAATACCGACCTCGATATAAGCTGGAAAAATAAACTAATTTATTTGTTGATCTTGTAATAAAAGAACAATCGCGAACTGCCAAACAAATTTTATCTTGTGTCAACAAATAAAAATATAAATTTTAAAATCTTAAACAATTATCTTCAATCATACTACAGCTGAAAGTCTGGAATTAAAAACATATTCCGGTTTGAACAAAATTCACGTCAAACTAGGCTGTATGGTATAAGACTTTTGCCTACTTTCAATTGCGAATCGTTACAGCAATAACAACCGGTAAATTTAGTTTTAAATTACGCTCAGAGTAATTACTAGCTTGGAAGGAATCCTACAATAAGAAGAAAATTCTTATGATTGAACTCTTTACGCTAATAATGTTTTACGTATTACAAGGCTATTATATTATTCTGTTTGTTTCACAACGTCTGTTTTACAACGTTGATGTCTTTTTTTCCATTCCATAAACACGTCAATTAATGTGCTTAATAATAAGAAATAAACAAAAATATTTATTATTCATCATGCTTTACCTCTTGCTGTCATCAACCTGCCGGTGCTGAAATATTTTCAGTGTGACTCTCGACTTGGTTCGAGACAAACAATGCCATATGTTTATTTATTCACACTTATTGTTGTAGTTGTGATACATATGATGCACGGATTGCATACGGTATACGTCTTACACGGCGTTCCATCGTGATAAACAAATCGATGCATACACAACAATATTCAAGTTATCAAGAAGAATCATAATCCAGAGTCACAGAAAAATGTCACCGTATAGGTTAATAATCAGAATTCTTAGGCAAGAACTAGTCACACAGGAAACGGAGTCCATAAGCAAAAGCAATCAATAAAATAAAATATTACGGAAAATCGATGGAATATACAAAATATCGAGACGACGTACGCGCAAGCAAAGTACGACAAGTTTCAGAACTTGTCAGGAGCAGCAGGTCGGCTGATAGATGAGATATCCTAACGGATTTTTGTTGTATTATATGGATGTTAATAATGGTAATTAACCAAAAGAGTGACTTTTACTAAGTATTATTTATAATCTACATTGAATAAAAAAGTTTCTGTTTCTGTTGACGATGTTGCCATATTCGAACTGTTGCGATTTCATATAAATAATTATCAAGTTCTTTGAGATAACACTGTCATTAATTGTATACTGGGTTAAGCTGCTGCCAAAATCTCAAAAACTTCGTAATGTGACGCATGACTTTTGTGAATAAAAAATACACAACAAACTAGGCTGTATGGTATAAGACTTTTGCCTGTCTTAATTGGCGAATCGTAACAACTACTAGTTAATTTACTTATAAATTATGTTTGATGAATTTTTCCAGAGTTGATAGACATTGTTCTTTGGCGTGAAAGTCAAAAAGCACAAAAAGTTAATTCTGATGCCCATACAAAATAATCCTATACGTTTTGTTTTAAGAAACAGTAAATTTAAAAGCAAAAAAGTCTACTTAAAAGACCTGCCTTAATAGGTCTGCCAAAGCTGCTCAGAGAATCAAACCAACAACCTATGGGGTAGAAAGGTTCTCAAGCTACAACTTCATATCAGTAAACAAAGAGTAGAGCAGTTCTCCACTACATAACTCGATGTATACAAGACGATGGATACCGTCGGCTCAGAATCAATATAAAGATGTTCAATATAAATATATTGGAAGTTAAGACGAAAGTAAAAATAGAGATAAGAGTGGTGGAGAGGGAGTTGTACGGCTGGTGGTGGGGTACCTGCTTGCGGCGCGCCTCCTCGACCTCCTCCTGCAGGCGGCGCGTCTCCGAGTCCTTGAGCTCCACCTCCTGCTGGATGCGCGACACCTCCTCCTGCTTGGCGCGGATCTCCTCCTCCAGCTTCGCGCGCTCCGCAGCCTCCATGTTCTGCACATCACACCCGCCGAAACATTAACATTAGCTTACATACTACTAACTACACACATGTAGGACCATTTCCCAACATACATACATAATACTTAGTTACTTGATCAAATTTAATAATATATGAGAATTCGCAGTCTATAGATTACTAATTCGTTCTTAGAAATGCCATAAGTTGTCATTATCATAATTCTTATTTCTACACAGACTGATTTTAAAATATCTGGGAGTCCATGCGATGTATGAACAAGCATTCGTCGTCAGAACTAAAGAAAAGGTTTCTTTGAAAATCAATATCTGGGAGGCCAAATGGTCTTCTTCTTTTGTATTCTTTTCTCAATTAATTTTTATGCGCATACCACGTGAACTCCTAGATCTCAATTTTAAACGCAATTGGTCAATAGTGATTTTTTTTTAAATAACGGCCAGTCTTTTAGTTTTTTCGACGAATTCATAGTCATAGACCACATGGGCTCTCAGATTTTGATTTTTAAGATTGTTTTTTTTTTAATTTCAGTGATTTTAAAACTATGTCTTGTCATAGGATTTTCTCCTGTATCGCTGAAACAATTTACATACATAAATTGAACAAGGACAAACATCCAGACACGGAACAATTATTTGTAGGCCATACAAAATACTTCTTCCGTGCGGAAATAAAACCCACGGCTCTTAGCGACGCAACTCATTACTAAGCCACTGCGCCATGGAACCTTCAAAAGTGAACATGTATCACCTTTGTCTCCTCGAGACGCTGCATCATCGCTTGCAGCTCGTTCTGGCGCTGCTCCAGCTCCTCCTTGGCGGCCTGCAGCTGTCGTAGCTGTTCCTCGAGCCGTCGGATAATATCCTGTGCCTCCAGCAGATTGGCCTGTATGGTTGAAACAGTAAAAATTACGACACCAAATAAAAAGCAATAACAAGTAAAGAACTCTTCATTAAATATTATATAATATCCAAAACAGGGTGAATGGCAAATAATTCCTTTGTAGTGGTAGTATGTGAGCTGGTGTGGACAAATGTGGCGTGTAGTTTTTAAAAAACTATTACATTATGTATATTTTATGTAAAAAATCTGTTATTTTGGCGTTACAAACAAACACTTCAATTTTATTTATTTGTATAGATACGTGATATCATCCCGTGGGTGTCGTAAGAGGCGACATAAAGAAACAAATCAGGAGATGAACAGCAGCGTCTTACTAACAACGACTAAAATAAAAACCCGCTTCCGAAGAGTGGCAACTATGGATAATATCCACCCTATGAGGTGGCAATCTATGGGGTTCAGCAGAGGAATTTAATAGGATGTAACAGACGTACCTGATAAGATCGAATAAAATTGTTTTGTTGGAATTCTGATACCGTCTTAACATGTTTGAACTTTAAACCAAATAAATATTTTTTTTATTGAAAATAATATCATATCGAAATTCTTTGTTTTATGTGTACATAACGGTCTGCTTCACGCAAAATACGCGGTAATTTTTTTATAGGATAGGGTGACAAACGAACACACAGTCCACCTGATGGTAAGTGGTTGCTGTGGCCCATAGACATCTACATCAATCCTCAATAAAGAATCAAAATGCAGATGCGTTGTCACCCGTGAGGACTAAGATGGAATGCTTCTTCTCCAGTAAAAAGGGTCTCCGGTTCTCTACACTCATTATACGAAACACAGCAGTGCGTGGTCCTTACCCGGTCGAGCCGACCCATTCGTGCTACAGTTAATATAGCTGCAGCATGGCGTGTTAAAGGTTATAAGTGATGTTGCGGAAAATAGCCCATCGTAAACTAACAGTCCACTCCTGGGTGAGAGCTGAACATGGGCCTCCTGGATGGCAAATCCTTAAAGATCACACTTATCTGACGGAGTAGCAAACACTGTACCAGTTGTCTTAAACCTTTGGCTCTGCTCACCGTTGTCACAAAGCATCTTGTACTACCCGAACTAAAAATGTTTGCTGTGCAATTGAAGTGCACTGCTCATATTTCACACTGTTGACTTTGATATTTATGTTAAGGTGTCGCACCTGTGAGCGCTCCATCTCTTCCTGCATCTGACGCAGTCTGTCCTCATATTCCTGTTGTTTCTTTTCCGCGCGCTCGCGGGCTGCGATCTCCAGCTGTAGTTTTTCTCTGCAAAATTAAGACATGTTTATATAATTAATAATTATAATAATAATGATATTGTGCTGATGGACAGGGCATAGTCAAGGATATTTTTGGTCGACATTAGCATTCCGTATGACGAGAACCTCGTGAAAGCCTAAACAGATAAGCAAACAAAATATCTGGACCTGGCTCACGAAGTTTCTGCCAACGGGCTAATCCCAGTCAGCCTCTAGAGTCATCTGAGGTGACTGGGACTCCGAGACGGACTGCTCCAAGCTCAAATGCAGAAGGCGATGCTCCTCGATACCAGACCGCATCGTCCACTGGTATCCCTCCCTTTTCCCCCTAACCCTAAGCCGTTTGATCACCCCTGCCGAGGGCTTCCATCTTGTTGATTTATTATTTATTTACGTATTATTATATATTTATTTCACTATATTAAAAGGACCTAAGCACTATGCTCAATGACCTCAATAGGGTCTCCCAACGGATAGGCCTTAAGATGAACATGGACAAAACAAAAATTTAACGTGCATGTCACACCTATATCCTTGGGGGGAGGCCTATGTTCAGCAGTGGACTTATGAAAGGCTGTAATGATGAATATGATGATTAAAATATGTATATTTATTTATATTTATAATTTTCATTTATATATTATTGTAGCCCAGCCAGATGAGAAAACTATTTAAATACCCCACTAATAATAATAAATGCTTTATTTACATATACTTTATCAAAATAAAATGTAAATTCCCTGGCTCCTAATGTAGGTGAGTGTGTGTGTGCGCGTGTGTGCGTGCGTGCGTGCGTATGTGTGTGTAAACATGAATATGTTATTTTGTAGATTAATTGTAGGGCAAAAGTAATTATGTTTCATCGTATCCCCAAAAAGTGTTAAGCCAATATTATGTCCTTTTTGATATCATAGTTATTAGTATCTTTTTTTCTACAAGCACTATTAAATTTGTTACATAAATATGGTGCTAAGTATTTAAGTATTTGTGCGTTTAAAAAAAAACACTTTTAGTTGTTATGACAGGGCATCTATCTATACTTTTTCTAGTTATTAATTAACATAAATAAATAAAGAAAATGTTGTTACTCAAACGTAGGTTGTTCGAATACTGTAAAATTAAAATTAGTCTGTGATTTATTGTATATCCTTATAGTTGTTATGGGTATTTAAGTGTCCTAAATCCTATCTTTGTCCTCCTCCAAGGTGACAGCGCATCTGCATTATGATTTTTAATTGAGGTTAGATGTTGACGTTTATGGGTCACAGCATTAATTTACCATCAGATGGACTGCGTGCTCGATATAATAAATAACTTTTTGTAATATGTGTAAGATGGGCTAGTAAGGGTGCAGTGCAGTGTGTTGTGGTGTGATGTAGTGTAGTGTAGTGTAGTGTGGGATGGTGTAGTGTAGTGTGTTATAGTGTAGTGTTTTATAGTGTAGTGTTTTGTATAGTGTGGTGTGGCGTTATGCAGTGCAGTGTAGTGTAATATATTGTAGTATAGTGTAGTGTAGTGAAGTGTTGTTTTGAGCGGAGTGGTGCGTAGTGGCGTGGTGTTTTGTGGTGTAGTATAGTCTGTGGTGGGGTGGTGTAGTGTAGTGTGTTGTGGTGTAGTCTGGTGCAGTTTGGTGAGTAGCGGCGGGGCGTACCTCTGCGCCTGCTTGGCCAGTTTCTCCTCGCGCGCCTGGGCCTTCATCTGCTGCACGTCGATGGTGTCGGGCTTGCGGCGCCGCATGTACAGCTCGTGGTTGCCCATGCACAGCGCCAGGATGCGCTTGTTCACGCGCACGCGCGGCGCGAAGAACACGAAGTCCGGCGCCTTTTTATCGATCGGCTTGATGATGAACTTGCGGTCGTTGAACGAGATGTTGCGGATCTCCGACCACGGGAAACCGATCTTCGGTGTCAGCCTGCAACCAACGATCGATTCTGTTACATAGCATCTCAAAATGTTTCCGAAAATTTGATATATTTTATTTTATTAAGACTGTCAACTGGTATTACAAATAACATTTCAACCTTAACCTTTTTATTAACTACTTTATGCTCACCAAATTATAGAAAACCGTAAAAATTATAGAATACCGTATTCGCTCTTATACATTTAACTATAAAATTCAATTAAGGATAACAAAGTTAAAACATTGTACAACTAAATATAAAATATATGGAAAAATAAAAATGGATGAGAAATAATAACATATGCAAATATATTTATTAATTAATGTATATAAAATTACCCTCACTATGTCTATTGTATGGTTATAAAACACAAATTTTTCCTGAATAGATATAGAACGACTTAAGAAAAACCATCACTTCATTCTGTTGTAAGAGGCGACTATGTTTACCCTTTCGCTGTCCCGGGCACTACATATAGATCATTGTTATTGTCTTACTATTATTGTGTCTGAAAATCGGACAGTGAAAATGTTAAATTTCAGAAATATGTTATTCTTTCTAATATTCAGTACGTATAAACTCCTAATATACATGGCAGTAACATGCCGTTTAATAAAGTAAAACACCCAAACCATTGACACGTAGCGATCGTCACTCCACCTGACAAACGTGAAGAATAAGGCAAAACCTTTCATCAGAAGAGGAACATTCACAACCCACAATAATTTTATTTAAATTTTAGGAACACTAACTTGTCATCTTTCTCGTAGATGTTGAGTCCGAGCGCGTCGACTCCCAGCCACAGCTCGGTGTTCTTCTTATTGCGGATCTCAAAGTAGTTGACGCCGTACATCTCGAGGTCCTGCGCGATCTTGAGGTACTCCATCATGGCGTCCTCGCGCAGCATGCCGCGGTGCTCCTGCCACCAGTTCGTGATGCTCTGCTCCCATTCCTCGCGCGACATCTTTTGGACAACAAAGACTATTATTAATACAAATATACAATAGTATTTTAATGCAAACAATTATTAACCTAGTGTAAATATGAAGAAGAGTCATATTGAAGCATGTGTTATATAAATATATATATATTTTGAGGACTAAACATACTATTTATTGGTGACTCACACATGAATGTAGAGTTGGTCTAACGGTTGTAGTCGCAACTGCTGACCATGTAGTCCCTGGTCGGGCCAAAATGAGTTATTGGGTTAATCTGTCAAGAAATTCTCAGTACCAGCCCCGAGTCAGAAAGTTGGCGTTGTTTCACCACCGTGACTCGGAAAGCACGTAAACCCACTAAGGACATGATCACTGTCTGGTCTCTGCTTGCACATACACTCGTGTACTATAATTCTGTCCTGCGCAAATGGCTAATATCCATTGAGACTGACCACCCTACCAAAGCACCTATTACATACTAGAAATTTCTCCTGTAACATGGGGGTGTTTTACAAACAAAGTGCATCATGTGCCAGTCGGTGACCCGCTGCGGTAGCAAGCAGATGGTTAATCTCATTTGAGACTACAGAAATTCGGTTTAGAGCACATTATTACAAGGCATTAAGTCCGCCCTTTGTATTATTTTGGAGTAAGGAATAATTATAATAATAATATAATATTTGGTAAATAAAAAATTACTTTCAATAAGTATTATGTAATAATCAATATTAAATAAAAAATCATTCTAATAAAATAAATAAATTACGTACTAGAAATTTATCTTGTATAATAGGGGTGTTTTACAAATACATGTGAAATATTTAAGAAATACGTATTATTGTTTTTTATATACCGTTCTTTCTTTATCATATTTTTATATTGTCTCCAATTCTGAGCTATGTTCAAAACCGTAGTCCATCTAATAGTAGTAGAATGAACAGACGTACATGAAAGCGAGTTTTGCCTCATAGGTGGTATATTTGCCATAGTTCCCACGCTTGGCAAGCGAGTTGGCAACTGCAGTTTTTATTTTTATTTTTAATCGTTATTAGGAAGAAATTGCTGCCTATCTCATGATTTGTTGCCCTCTGTCGCCTCTTACGACACCCACGGAATGGTATGGGTAGTAGATATTCTTAAATCGCCACTACACGGAGGAAAGGTTCTCGATTGGCACTGGCAGACAAAGTGTAAGGCGTCCTCTACTAGCTGGAGTGACGACCTGGTAAGACACATAGAAAGTCGATGGATGCAGGTGGCTCAGGAGCGCGCTTTGTGGCATTCCTTGGGGGAGACCTTTGAGTTTGACTTGCGTCGTTCCATACCTTGTGGTGGTCGGTGACGCGCTGCGGCAGCAGGCGGTCGTTGGCCAGGAAGCCGGGCCCGTGCAGCGCGTACGTTCCATACCTTGTGCTGGTCGGTGACGCGCTGCGGCAGCAGGCGGTCGTTGGCCAGGAAGCCGGGCCCGTGCAGCGCGTACGTTCCATACCTTGTGCTGGTCGGTGACGCGCTGCGGCAGCAGGCGGTCGTTGGCCAGGAAGCCGGGCCCGTGCAGCGCGTACGTTCCATACCTTGTGCTGGTCGGTGACGCGCTGCGGCAGCAGGCGGTCGTTGGCCAGGAAGCCGGGCCCGTGCAGCGCGTACGTTCCATACCTTGTGCTGGTCGGTGACGCGCTGCGGCAGCAGGCGGTCGTTGGCCAGGAAGCCGGGCCCGTGCAGCGCGTACGTTCCATACCTTGTGCTGGTCGGTGACGCGCTGCGGCAGCAGGCGGTCGTTGGCCAGGAAGCCGGGCCCGTGCAGCGCGTACGTTCCATACCTTGTGCTGGTCGGTGACGCGCTGCGGCAGCAGGCGGTCGTTGGCCAGGAAGCCGGGCCCGTGCAGCGCGTACGTTCCATACCTTGTGCTGGTCGGTGACGCGCTGCGGCAGCAGGCGGTCGTTGGCCAGGAAGCCGGGCCCGTGCAGCGCGTACGTTCCATACCTTGTGCTGGTCGGTGACGCGCTGCGGCAGCAGGCGGTCGTTGGCCAGGAAGCCGGGCCCGTGCAGCGCGGGGTTGTGGTCGCCGTGGCGCGCCTGCACCGCGTACGACGCCAGCAGCACCGACGTCTCCGGCGGGCAGTAGATCTCGTCCGACAGGATCGCGTTCTTCACCTGCGACCGATACAAGATACAATATAACTATTGTTAGGTGCAACTATATTATGTTTGTAGGTCGGATGGGTCGATCGGCCGTGGACGGGCCACGCTCTCACAGAATACCAGCGTTAAATAGCGGCTTAATGCTGCTGTGTTTCGTATGGTGAGTGTAGAGAACTGGAGGCCCTTTTTACTGGAAACGAGGGATCATCTTTGTCCTCAGGGGAAACAACGCATCTGCATTTTGATTCTTAGTTGAGGATAAATGTACATGTTTATGTCACCAATATTCTATATAAAGAAATTCTCTATTGATTACATGTAATTTTTTATTTTTACGGTTCGGACCAGCAAGAAACCCAGCGGATTTTTTTTTTCAAAGTAAGTTATACAATATGAAAGCGTGTACAAATTATTTACAAACTCTATTTTAGAAACAACTTGAAGGGAGGACCACCTCATAACCCTTTTTAATAAAATATATGATTTGATAAAAGAGAGACCTTGTATATTTTTTGGACTCTGTTGTAATAGCGTATACATTGCCCATGAATAAATTACTGACTAGTCGATAAACTGGTATCACTAGCCTGTAACTGTTAAGACTGCGTAGATCGTACGAAAAATAATAATTTTAACCTGAATCAGAATTTAATATAAAAATTCTAATCAGTCGAAACTGCTGTTGTCCCTCTCAGTTGTCTAACTCGATCGCTCGGGCGAAGCGCGGTCAGTAGCAGTAGTTAAGAAAGTTAAAACCTATTCTTTAAATATCGTGCCGTCCACATATCCTTTTAAATATATTATACAATATGTGACCAGTGTTGAAACAGCTAGACTAGTTTACTTTAGCTATTTCCATAGCATAATGTCGTATGGTGTTTTGCTATGGGGACACGCAGCTGACACAGAAATTATATTTGTTTTACAGAAGAGGGCCATAAGAGGAATTTATGATATAAAGCCTAGAGTCGCTGCGACAAAAATTGAAGGAAATTAATATATTAACTTTGGCCTCTATTACATTTATGAAAATGTAATGTACGTATACAAAAATAAAAGTAGTTTTACAAAAATAAGTGATATTCATTCTGTAAATACTAGGAACAGACACAAGTTAGTAGTACCAGTTACTCGACTCCATCAAGTCAGTAATTCATTCTTGAGGCGAAGTATACGCTTTTACAACAAAATTCCAGAAAATATACAGAGTTTGACCTGCTCAAAGTTCAAAAACTTTATTAAACTAAGTTTGTATAAAAAGGGCTATTATAATATTAAATAATTTATGGATGATAATAACTCCTGGAAATGCTGTGATCGCTACTAAGCTATTTCTAATTTGTTGTGTTGTTAATCTGTGTAACATTCATGATTGAAAGCTTTAGTTAAAAAAAAAGCTAATAAGCTTGTTTAAAAAAAAGTCCCGCTGGTTTTTCCCAGGACAGAAGCTTTTTTTTCGAACCAGTGGTAATTAAACAAAAGAGTGACTTTCAATAAGTATTATTTACAATTTATATTGAATAAAAAAAGTTTCTGTTTCTGTTAACCATTATTAAAAGGATAGTTTACGCTCGTGCGGTACATCTTGGTGTTTGCGTGAGTGCGTTTGTGTAAGTACATGTGGAAACGAGGCATTCCATTTTAGTCCTCAGGGGTGACAACGCATATGCATTTTGCTTATCAATGAAGGATCGATAAAGATGTTTATGTGTGTCAAACGTGTGACAAACGAGCACACAGCATACCTGATGGTAAGTGAATGCTGTTGCTCATAGACTTCTAACATCTAAAATGCAGATGCGTTGTCACGCCTAAGGACTAAGATTGAATGCTGCGTTTCCAGCAAAAGAGTCTCCGGTTCTCTACACTCACCATACGCTGGTATTATTAGAACCAGTATATATTATTAGAACCAGTATAACTTCAGGCTATGAGACATTCCAACTTAGTCCTCAGAGATCACAACGCATCTGTAGGCTTCTTAGTTTGAAGTTGGTTGCAGGTGTCTACAGACTGATGTAGTCTCTTACCATCAGTTGAACTATAAGTTCGTTGATCACTTCAGTTGTATAGAAAGAGTAATAAATCCAAAATGAAAATCAAATGCCAATATTTATTATCGTCGCTTATTTTATACAATCTATAACACTTCTTACACAATTAAATCTTATTTGGTCACGTATAGCAAACCAACCTGAAGGTAGAAGAGCTTAAGAGTGATTTCCTGGATTAGTTCATCGGCGACATCCTCCGGGTAGAATTTGGCTCGGAACTTGAACTGCAGTGGGTTCTCTTTCTTCACATCTTGCTGCATCACCTGCAATGCACGAAAGGTATAATGTAAAACTTATGATATTATAATGTGAACGTTAGGAGGCTTTTACTAAGGCTTTTACCAAAAGCTTGCTAATTGTATTTAGAACGATTCATAAAAATAGCTTTATAGCGAATCACAGACTGAGCAGAAAAATATACTTGTCTGTGTATCACTTTAATAGTAAAAGAAACTGACTTCAAGAATCATTACTGTGTTTGATGCAAGTAAACAGAAGCTTTTTTTTAATTATTCAGTTTATATTGGAATTTAAACGATATTGTCTTTGAATCCCTGAATTGATAAATAGTAAACATAAAGTTGTTATTATTTCGACTCGTATATTTCGATTTTAATCAAAATTAATAACGAATAGTCTATAAGATAGTATGAGAGCTAGAGCTTGTTTTCATAAAATAAAATATTAAAATAAAAGTCATCCGAGCTGCACACTTCGGAGGTTGTTAATAAATTTAATATCATATATGAGCGACAAATCGTAACTATATTAAAGTAACACGTGTAACAAATGAATTTGCGATAGAATTATTTTTACTTTATTTATAAAAAAAAAATACCACTTGTTTACTATTTCAAACTAATATAACTGCAATTTTAGTGCGCCAAGTATACTGCCAATAAACACATTCGTGACAATCTTACCCATCTGGAGAAAGGTAGCGACCCTGACTTCGTGGCGTGCCCATCAGGTAATCCAAGGAAAGCGTTAAAAAGGCAACAATTAATTACAATTCAGCGTCAGTTGACGACAAATACACAAACATCTGAGCGACACACCAGAGAGATCGACGTAAGAGATACAAGGAAAAACTAGCTAAAGTTTAAAAATATTAAAGCTAGATGTACGAATAAATAGCTTACTTATTATAACTTAATAATAGGTTCCAACCATTTATCAGTCTTTACAAGTCCAATGTCACACGTAAGTCACCAACATACGTATTTCTTTATATAGAATAAGGGTGACAAACGAGCATGCAGTCCATCTGTCGGTAAAGGGATGCCGAGGCTCATAGGCATCTACATCTGTCTTCAACTATGAATGAAAAATGTAGATGCGAATCAATTATGAATGAGAAATGTAGATCCTTCCGCGGTCGACCGCGAGCCGACCCATACGTACTGCAGCCATAATATAGCTGCAGCGTGGCTTTACGTGTTCAAAATAAGCAGACGGGCTGGTGATCGACAGGACTGCCTGTGTATTTTGATATTCAAGATACGCTCACCATAGCCTATGTAAACGATTTACAATAAAACTTTTTATACTAAGGGACCCATTACTTAAATGTATTAGAAAATCTAGGGTAGGTTTCTACTGGGAAATTTTAGCAAAATAACACTACGCGATACATTAAAACGTCAAGCACCAGAAATATTGGTATTAATTGCTATTCTTCATTAGATGATAATCCATTAAAAATTAAAAAAAAAATCGAAATGGTCATGGTGTTTGACGTCCCAATCCCATACTTAACCTAATAACATAGCCATGGTTAAACAATGACAATGGGACGTCGAACATCACAGCCCCGCGTGCTGCAAGATACTTGTAACTTCGAGAATATAGTGTTAATTAAACGCGATAAAACCAGTAAAAACTAGTTTCATTCATTATTTATGAGGGCTTTCTATATTTAAAAACGCTTCGTATTCTTTTACGAGCCGTTTTGCAGTAAAGGAAGTGAATGAAAACCCCTTATTTTAAAACAAAATACCAATCCAACTATTTATAAACCGTTTAAAGGATTTTCATTCGAATAATCCTAAGTAGCTGATTCTATTCGTAGTATAAACTGTTTCTATATGCAACTCGTATGCAATAATCGTACGGACAACTATGAACGAAAAGTTTCTTGAACTTTTGTCTCGTATACATCTAGCGTCATTTAATTCAAGAACTACTCATACTTTGGACAGAATAAAAGTAGGTTAAGTAGCATTTAATACTAGTAATACATTTTCGTCTGTTTCCCTAGCCTTAATATGTTTATATGTTGATTTCTCAGCTGTAAGTGATTTTTTGTGAAAACGCCCACCTTAAAGTTTTGGTTTGGTAATGAACATCCGAGCGTGGGCAGTGGGCACAGCCAATCCGGACCTGCTCTATATACGCTGACACTAGGCCTATATAAGTACAAACTCGTTTATTATAGTAGCATCGTATGTATTGCCACGTGGTGACAGTGTAGGAGAATTGAAGATTACTACCTTTTATTCCATGGGTCGATACAATTTGTACAATGCGTACGATAAGTTACCGTGTTGTGAGGTGTAGAGGCGGTGCAAGAATATCCATTATTATCATCCCGTGGGTGTCGTAACAAGCAACAAAAGGAAACAAATCCGGAAATGGGCAGCATCGTCTTCCTAGTAACGACTGAGAATAAAAGACTGCCGTTGCCGACTCGCTTCCCAAGTGTGGCAACTATAGCACATATCCTATGGGGCTATGGGGGAGGCCTATGTTCAGCAGCGCACGGACAAGCTGTAACGGTAACGGTTTCATGGGTCTGGGGTAGAAAAGGCAAATGGCAGAAAAAATCACACATGCTTCATATACGTCGGATGTACGGTTAGATCAGACCGGCGACGGGAGCAGGGTCAAAAGTATGAGATGTCTGATATTGCGATCGTTAATCAGTCTGCCAGATGATGAGACAGTGTCATTAATAGGGAAATCCTTCCTATGACGGCAGATACCCATGTTCAGCAAGATGATGAGGGAATGCCAGTGGTATACTTTACCATATTTAATTTTATTTACAAAAAATGCACTTGTTTCTTACAATTATTGTACGTCCTATATATATTTAAAAAATATAAAGTTTTATTTACCATGAATTCATATGAGTCATAGAAATCACGCGCCCATTTCTACAATTGTGAAACGTAAGCTGATAAGAAATAGTTCAGTTATGAGTCGCCGTTGTACAATTGTGGCAATGCTGGAGTCAAGTCAGTGAGTGCAGTGAACTAGATCGGTTGATCTATTCACTGGATTCTCTCTCGATCTTGGCAACACTTATCGATATATGGTTTTCGATGCAATGTTTGCACCAAGACACGAATCTGTAGATAATTGTTTTTTTTTTTACCTGTATCTTATGTTGTAATTTTTCTGTTAAAAATATAAACAAACAGCGTCACAACCTGTAATCCCTGAGAGAGTTGACAGAGTCCAAAGAACAGCGAGCTAATGGGATCTGAATAGATGAAAAACTGTAAAAGAAAGGTCTAGCCCGACGCTTACTTAATCACAAACCCAATATCCTATTATTACGAAATGTTAAGCAAGTGACACAGTCGGCGCATTCTTTTCTGTTATAGGTTCCACATAAACATATATCTAAAAATCTCAGACCAACATGGGATTGAGAATTAAGTATTACATACATTACAAAAGTAGTAAGTACACAATGATATATTAAATTCCATCCTTTAAGCTATTACAAATTAGTAGTAGCTGAGAAAGTACTGGAGTACTTACATAGGCTGCACTAAAAGTATCTGGAATGGAATATTTCCACTGTTCCTGTCATATTAAAATCTTTTTAATTGAAAACACCTTGGTTTTAAAAATCGAATACCATTTATTTATTTAAAAAAAGGTTCTCGGTCTTGTCACAAGGTTTTGTCAAACTTGTTTAATCGTTGAGAAAATGGAATTGACTCGAGAAAATTCAAGAGCGATGATTTATTATGACTTTCGAAGTGGTTTAACACAAAAACAGTGTGTTGACCGGATGATTTCTGCATTTGGTGATGAAGCCCCATCCAAAACCACAATTTATCGCTAGTTTGCTGAATTTCAACGTGGACGTGTCAAGCTCAGTGATGATCCCCGTCAAGGTCGTCCAAAACTGCAGTCACCCAAGAAAACGTTGATACTGTGCGTAAGCTGATTGAGCAAAATCAATATGTGACATACCGCGAAATTCAGGCAACTTTAGACATTGGCATGAGTCAAATACAAATAATCTTGCATGAACAATTAGGTGTAAAAAAATTGTTTTCCCGATGGATACTGCATTCGCTCTGTGAAGAGCAAAAAGCGGCTCGCGTTACTTGGTGCGTCAGAACTCTCGAAAGATTCCACGCAGGATCCTCAAATGCCGTATACAACATCGTACCAGGTGACGAATCCTGGATATACGCGTACGAACCCGAAACAAAAAACCAGTCACGAGTTTGGGTGTTCGAAAATGAGTTGAATCCAACAAAAATTGTTTGTTCACGGAGTGTTGCAAAAAAAATGGTGGCCACGTTTGTCTCCAAAACCGGCCATGTTACGACTATTCCTCTTGAGGGACAAAGAACGGTTAATGCAGAATGGTGTGCTAGCATTTGTTTGCCACAGGTCGTTTCTGAACTCCGTAAAGAGAACTGCAACCGCCGCATCATCCTCCATCACGACAATGCGAGTTCTCACACCGCACACAGAACAAAAAAGTTTTTAGAGCAAGAAAACATAGAATTATTAGACCATCCGCCGTACAGCCCCGACCTAAGCCCTAATGATTTCCCTAAAATAAAGAATAAATTGCGTGGACAGAGATTTTCATCACCTGAAAAAGCTGTGGGCGCCTACAAAACGGCCATTTTGGAGACCCCAACTTTCGAATGGAATGGTTGCTTCAATGATTGGTTCCATCGTATGGAAAAATGTATCAAATTTCGCGGAGAATACTTCGAAAAGCAATAAATACATTTTTAAATAGTAATGTTGTGTCACTTCCTTGATTCCCGAAATTTTCAGTGCCACCCTCGTAGCAGACGGTTTTTTTTTTAACGAATTTTGTTGTGGTTAATTTGGTTTAGCACTTTGCCCAATGTGATTAGAGGCTGATCAATTAGATGTCCTGATGTCATATTAAAAACTTCGAACTTAGTTCTTCGATAAATCGGTGTCTTTTTGCGATAATTTGTGGTTTTCAAAATTTGACGATAAAATATTTGAGCAGTTACAAAACGAAAACTAA